ACCACTTGTCCACCAATTCTACCAAAGTCATGCCGTTTGAGTCTTCATCCATACTCCCCACAACTCACAATACTTCCAAGTTTTATAAATGAAACCAAAACCATTTTCGTTGCAAAGTTTATCCATTCTTCATTAGCTGGCATAGGTAGACAGACAGGCTGAATTATCGCCTGCCTTTTTAAAATTTCATTCTTTCATGATGTGGGCATTACGAGTAGGCCAGCACTTATTGACCATCCCCAATTGCCCTTGAGGAGATGGTGGTGAGCCACTGTCTTTAACCACTGAGCTCTACAGGGGCACCTACAGTGCTGTTAGGAATAGAATTCCGGGATTTTGAGACAGTGAAGGAATGGTGTTATATTGCCAAGTCTGAATAGTGAGTGTCTTGGGGGGGAGCTTGCAGTTGGTGCTGTTCCAATACCTTTGATACTTTTGACCTTCTAGTTGGTAGTAGTCATGGGTTTGGATGGAAAAGAGCCTTGAGTGAGTTGTTGCACTACAGCTTATAGATGGTACATACATAGTGCATCAGTGGTTAAGGGACTGAATGCTGAAGGTGGCGAATGGTGAATGCCAAACAAGGGGGCTGTTTTGTCCTGGATGATGTTGAGCTTCTTGAGTGTTGTTGGAGCTGAACTTATTCAGGCAAGTGGGGAGTTTTTCCATCACGCTCCTGACGTATGCCTTGTAGAAGGCAGACAAGCTTTGGGGAATTAGGAGGAAAGTTACTCGAGTGGAGGCTGGGTACTTGAAACCTTATTCAAAACTGAGGGAGATTTTTGATGGATACAGGAATTGAGGGTTCTGGGGTATAGACAGGATAGTGGAATAAAGACCACATTTGCATCAGCCATGGTCTTGTCAAATGGCCTACTTCTGATCCTATGTTCCTAATTCTCAGCCTCTGAGCTGCTTTTATAGCCATAGTATTTATACAGTTCAGTTTCTGGTCAATGATAACCCCCAGGATATTGATAGTGAGGGATTTAGTAATGGTAGTGTCAGGGGTGATGATTACCTTCTCACATGTTGGAGATGGGTTATTACCTGTCACTTCTGTGGCACAAATACTACTTGGCATTTATAAACCCAACCCCGAGTGTTGTTCAGGTCTTATTTATTGTGGACATGGATTGGGATGGTTAGATTATACAACTCTTTACAACAATGCAATGAGGCAACTAGCATCAAGTTAGAGAAAACAAGATAAATGCATGTTGGAGGATAGTGGAGTACATTGACTAATTTATATTAAGAATAATGGGGGAAGACTTCTGTCTACAAGATGTGAAGGATAGACACTGGCAGGGACCTGCTCGGCCAAATGGCCTGTTTCCGTGCAAAAAATATTATGCAGTACTATGTAAAAAATATGGCGTAAGGTAGTTTACTTCAGAGTGATATGAAATGAAGCCCAGAAAAGGTAAAGTGAATGGATTGACTATTGACTGTTTTCAATAGAATATGTCTCAGTGGTTAGCACTGCTGCCTCACTGCACCCGGACCTGGGCTTGATTCCAGCCTCAGGTGACTGTCTGTGTGGAGTTTGCACATTCTCTCCGTGTCTGCGTGGATTTCCGCCAGGTGCTCTGATTTCTTCTCAGTCCAAAGACGTGCAGGTTGGGTGGATTGGCCATGCTAAATTGTTTGTGGTGTCCAGGGATGTGCAGGCTGGGTGAATAAGCCATAGGAAATGCAGGGTCACAGGGATAGGGTAGGGGTGTGGGTCTGGCTGGGATGCTCTTTGGAGGCGCGATGTGGACTCCATGGACTGAATGGCCTGCTTTCCACACTGTAGGGATTCTACAAAAATATTATCATTGCAAGAGATCAGAAATTTAAAACAGAAAATGCTGGAAATATTCAGCAGGTTGGGCAATATCTTTGGCAAGAAGAGAAAAAAAATATTGAAATATGGTTAGACGCAAAGAGGGAGAATTCATGCACTTGGTTAATGCACTCACATGGCTATTAATCACATCCCTTAGGCTCTTGTCACATTTGTACCAGTTGGTGTCAATCCTTGATTCAGCAGCTGTTCAACACCGCTGGCATTGCCTTCCTTCACACAGACTTCAGTTGTGAGATCTTGTATCCTAGCAGGCTGCTGAAGGTGAAGTCCTGGTACAGCAAGCCACTTAGCAATTCCCACCATTGTCACACTATAGCACAACTCGTGGTCTAATGGATCCTTGGGTCATGGTCACTCATTAATCACTCTTGCTATGCAAGCATGCAGACAGTCACAGCAATTTATGGGGCTCTAGTGAGACGAAGCCTGGAGTACAACATAGAATTCTGGTTTTCATATTTAAGGACCTGCTTTAGAGATGGTACACTATATTAAAGAACACAATACAAATATGTGGCTCACAGGACTGATATGGCTGTACAGGGCGTTGGTTAGGCCACTTTTGGAATACTGCATTCAATTCTAGTCTCCCTGCTACAGGAAAGATGTTGTTCAACTTGAAAGGGTGCAGAAAAGATCTACAAGGATGTTGCCGGGATTGAAGGGTTTGAGCTATAGGGAGATGCTGAATAGACTGGGGCTATTTTCCCTGGGGCATCAGAGGCTGAGAGGTGACCTTACAGAGGCTTATAAAATCATGAGGGGAAGGATAGGATGAATCAATAAAGTCTTTTCCCCGGAGTGGGGGAGTCAAAAACTAAATAACACAGGTTTAAGGTGAGAGGAGTAAGATTTAAAAGGGACCTGAGGGGCAACTTTTCCATGCAGAGGGTGGTGTGTGTTTGGAATGAGCTGCCAGAGTAAGTGGTGGAGCCTGGTACAATTACACCATTTAAAAGGCATCTGGATGGGTATATGAACAGGAAGGGTTTAGAGGGATGTGAGCCAAATGCTGGCAAATGGGACTAGATTAATTTAGGATATGTGGTCTGCATGGGCGAGTTGGACCGAAGGGTCTGTTTCTGTGCTGTACAACTCTATGAATCTATGACTCTAAAAACCGAGAATCTAGAGCAAGGGGACACAGTTTCAGGATAAGGACATTCAGCACAGAGATGGGAAGACATTTCTTCAAAAGGTTATGAAGATTTGGAATTCCCCATCAATGCAAATGCCCCATCATTGAAAACATTTAAATCTGAGATAGGTCGAATTTGGTCTCCAAGAATAACAAGGGACGTGAGAGTGAGTAGGAAAAGAGAGTTGCAGTCGAATACCAGTGATAATCGTATTGAAAGGCAGTACAGGCTTGGTGGGCCATATGGTTTATGCCTGCTCCCGTTTGTTACATTATGTAATGTAAGAAGCTATTTGAGCCTTGGTGCTGGGGACATTCCTATGAAATGTTTGCAGGTTGTTTACCTTGAACTCAGAAACAGAGGATGGGGTGGGGAGAACAGTAATGAAGAGTGGGGCACTTAAATGTCATACATCTGAACCGTCTAGTGAAAAAATACAAACAGAAATTAAGCAATACAACAAGTTTCATATCAGGATGCAGATGGGAAAGGGTCTAAGAAAGGACATGTGAACAATAGCTTCTGCAGCATAACAGCCAAGACTACAGGAAGAATGCACAGACAGAATGGCAGAAAGCTCCTGGTCTCTAAAATAACAATACATTCATCCAATGAAAACCCTGCTCTGTCTAGGATGTCTGCCAACATGGGAACACAGACTATATAAACACAAGATTAAAAGGTTCAAAATTCCTAAAGCAGGAAGATTAAAAAAACGTCCTGGTAAAATAATCCCCTGGGTGTATTTTGGGAGTCCATTGTAAATCGCTTTATGTATTTAGCCACCACGAGAACCACAATAGTTGCTGTTTTTTTGCCCTCCACATAATCTCAAGAAAGTAATAAAACAATTGAACCAGGGTCAATATACTCTAGTATAAGGAATAACTGGCTCACTATCATCAAGGATAAAGTATAGAACGGGAACGCAGTCAGGAGAGCAACTCTGAAGACCAAGTCGGTTTAAAATTACAAAAATGTTTCTACAACAATGTCAGAAAAACCATGGCAAAATAACTTAAAGAATTAAAGAATGACTCGCATTTCTAAAGCACTTGTAATACATACAAACTTGTGAAATAAGAACAAAGGTAGGACTTTTTGTCTCTCAAGGCTCTTCCACCATTCAATAAAATCATAGTTGACCCTTTTGTGTTCTAAATTTTACCTCGGTAACCCTCACTCCTCTGCCTAACAAGAATCTATCCACCACCACCTTAAAAATATTCAATGACCCCAGCTCCACAGCCTTCGACACAGAGTCCTAATGTTGCACAACCCTCAGAGAAAAAAATGATCTCCATCTCTAACTAAAAGGGTGATCCCTAATTTTACGCAGTGTCCCCCAGTTCTGGATGTGTGTGTGCATATTTATTGTGGTGCATAGCACATATACATTGGTACCAGCAAATGCAGTCTAACAAAAAGAGGCGCAAAAAGAGGAGAATTCTTGATAGAGTTGAAGTCGCAGTCCAACACATTTTGTGGATGGATACCTGGACTCCCATGACATTTTACATCTTTGTGTTTTCTGAATTCATAATTTTCAAGTAATGCCATTCAGGGAAAGAACTCTGCTGTCCTTGGCTGGGCTGGCTCGGCCTCCATTCGACTCTCGAACTATTGTAATGTTGTGACTTTTAACTGCCCTACCAAGCCATTCAGTTCTGAGGCAAATAGGGATGGGTAATAAATGCTGTTGCCAGCAACACCTCCATCCCACGGAAACTAGCACAATAGATAATCTGCACCATGGGAGATACAACTGCCTTCCTCCATTGGAGAATCCATTCAATTATAGAAATGTAGATATCAGGGTGTGAAAACTCCCCATTCCAATATTTTCACTTTTAACTCACATAACTAGTTATTTTAAACTTACATGTTTGTCCATTCACACCACATTTGCAAAGCTTTAAATTGGAGCCCAACTCAAGTGCCAACAAAGATGGCAGCTTGGGTCACAAACACTACATTGAGTAGAAACCTGGCAGTAAAGGTCTTACCTGTGGAAAAGATTAAGACACTATTATTCCAGAATCCATACTTGTGCAGAGCGTGAGTGATGTTCCCCACAGCTTCATCCATCATGGACACCATTCCTGCATACTGGCGTCGAGCCTCATCATGGATAAAACTGTATGGCTTCATGTACTCCTCAGGCACTTGGAGTGGTACATGAACAGACTGGAAGGGCAAGTACAGAAATAGAGGCTGCAACAGAGCACATGGTGTGGAAAGATTACTTGGGCTGTGAAGAGGCAGTGGTATGGTGGTACTATCACTGGATTAGTCACACAGAACTTCTCAGTAACGTTCCAGGGACGAGGCTTCAAGTTTCATCCTGACAGATGGTTCAATTGAAATTCAGTACAATCTAGAATGGTGACCATGTAACCACTATTATTTGTTGTAAAATCTCTGGTTTAATGATGTCCCTTAGGGTAGGAAATCAGTCATCCCTATCTGGGGTTGGCCTACAGGTAATTCCAGACCTACTGTAATGTGGTTGAATCTTATTTGCCCTCCGACAATTTGCAGTGAGCTGTAAGTTCTGGCTTAGCCAGCATTGCCCATATCCCATTAATGCATAAAAACATCATAAATCAAAATCTGCAATTGATCTGAACCTATTGCATTGCTTAATTCTAACCTGTTTATTGCTGCTTAAAATTTACAGGGTCGCTGCCTTTCATTATTGCTCATGACCTTAACTTCTCATTAGGAAGAATTCTTGCATGCAATCTAAGTTACTACATTTCTAAATTTCACTGGTATTTTGGACGTGATTATCAAAACTCAGTTAAATATTGTATGCTAGAAAGTTTCTCAAGTGCAGCGGATGATCTGAACGAACTATGTCCAATAGCTTCCTTGAACCTAGTTTTGACCAGCAAGTGGGCATTTTAATTTTGCTCAATTAGTGGGAATCAGGGGCAAACTCTGCTAGTTGGAGTCATACCTGGCACATAGGAAAATGGGTGATGCTGTTGGAAGTCAGTCATCTCAGCTCAAGGACATCTCTGCAGGAATTTCTCAGGGTTGTGTCCTATTCCCAACCATCTTCAGTTGTTTCATCAATGCCCTTCCCTCCTTCATAAGGTCAGACATGGGAATGTTCACTGATGATTACGCAATGTTCAGCACCATTTTTGACTCTTTAGACACTGAAGCAGTCCATGTTCAAATGCAAGAAGATCTTGACAAATTCACACTTGGGCCGCCAGGTGGCAAGTAACATTCATGCCACACAAATGGCAGGCAATGACCATCTCACCCCAGTCCCTTGACATTCAATGGTGCTGCCATCACTGAATCCCACAAGTAACATCCTGGGGGTTATCATTGACTAAAAACTCATCTGGAGTTTACTATGTAACTATATGGCTACAAGAAGAGGTCAGCGATTAGGAATACTGAGGCGAGTAACACATCTCCTACCTCTCCAAAGCCTGTCCACCATCTACAAGGCACAAGTCAGGAAAGAATTGGAAACATTTTGCCATTCCCTCATTGTCGCTGGGTCAAAAGCCTAGAATTCCTCCCTAACAGCATTCTGGGATTACCTGCAGCAGATGGACTGCAATCGTTCAAGGAGGCAGCTCACCACTACCTTCTCAAGGACAACTAGAAATGGGCAATAAATACTGGCCAATCAGTGACACACACATCCTATGTGTGAATAAAAAACGCTAACTGGAGGCTAAAAGCAGAAAGGCAGCTTACTAACTGAACTTTTGTTGTTTTTTTGAGTCTTCCACAGTCATCGTAACTAATTTATTGTGCTCCTCTGCTCCTGCTCCACTGGCAACAATTTTTTTTCATGTTCTAAAGTTTACTTAATTCCTTTTTGAAAGTTACAACTGAATCTGCTTCCAAAGCTCTTTCAGTGTGTACATTCCAGGTCAGCAAGGCAAGAAATTCTCATCATCCAACTGGTTCTTTTGCTGATTCTCCTAAATCACTGTGCTCGCTCACTGAGTCTCACATCATTGGAAACAGTTTCTTCATCCTGAATTTATCAAAACCCTCCATAGTTTTGAGCATTTCTGGTGAAAGAGAGCAATCTGTTTTTGAACTATCCTGCCTAGAGATGCAGTCCTTCTTTAATTTTCCTTAATAAAACATTTCATGATTTAGTATAAGATAACAAGGTGTAGAGCTGGATGAACACAGCAGGCCAGGCAGCATCAGAGGAGCAGGAAAGCTGACGTTTTGGGTCTGGACCCTTCTTCATGATTTAGAACACCTCTTTTCTGATATTTCTTTCATAGAAGGTGGCTAAAACCTCATTGTCTGACCGTTTCAGAGCGTGGTTTAGAGACAATCACTTTGCTGGATTTGGTGTCATGTCAAGGTCAAATCACAATAGTCCTAGTGGACCATAGGCTGCTCTTTCGTTAGACAGAGATGAGTGTGGTAATTTAACCCAACTGGGGAGGTTGGGAAGGTAGCACCTACATGTTAATCTCAGCATTTACAGGAATTGAACCCGCATTGTTGGCATCACTCTGCATGGTAAGCTAACCATTCAGCCAACTGAGCTAACTGGTCCCCATCACTTTTGATTAATCAGATCTGAAGGGTCACCGGACTTGAAATATTAATTCTGCTTTCTCTCCACTGATGCTGCCAGACCTGCCGAGTTTCTCCAGCAATTTCTATTTTTGTTTCAGATCTTCAGCATCCACAGATTTTTTTTATTTTTAGCAATTTAGAAATGTTTAGTGCAATTTATTTGCTGTTGCATTCCAGTTCTCTGTGTAAAGAGCTATAATCTCACACGTCTTCTTTGTTAAACAACTTTATCAACTTCTCACTAAATTAACTAAGCTCACTAAATGAGACCCTGGGATGAGGGGCTGTACCATGACGTGAGGCTCAGTAAATTGGATCCATATTCTCTGCAGTTTAGAAGGATGAGATGTGATCTCTTTGAAATGTATAAGACTCTGAAGCGGGTTGATACGGTCAAGGCTGTGAGATTGGTTCCACTTGTCTGGGAATCTAAAATGCCATTGTGTAGTCTTAGCATAAGGAGCAGATCATTTATGGCTGAGACAAGGAGAAATTTCTTCACTGAAGGGATTGAGAATCCTTGGACTTCTCTACCCTAAAGGGTTGTAGACGCTCCATCGTTCAATACTTCTAAGGCTGAAACAGACAGATTTAGGGAATCAAGGAACACGAGAAAGTGGAGTTAAAGTTCAAGATCAGCCATGATTGGACTGAATAGTGAACCAGGTTCAACAGACCATGCAGTCTAGTCCTGCTCCTGTTTCTTGTGTTCTCGACCTGTCACCAAAGGTTAGTATATGTAAACTCCTACACTCTCTCTATATCCTACTTTAAAAAGGGTTGCATTTATAGTTTAGATTACCACAGCATAGAAGACAGAAGTGAAAAATAAACACAAAAGGACTTCTTTATTTTAAAGAGATAGATTTGTGTTTCCTTAGGAATTTTTAGTTGGTCTGCTCAGTGACTACACTGCCAGTTCAAAACCAGACCAGTGACAATGCTACTTGAAGGAATGTCACACAACAGACTAATAATTTGGGAATGAGTGGAGGAAAAGATGTTTTACACTGATTAAGAAAACTTATTAACTTCAACAGTTAAACTCCAACAGATAAAGCAATAAACCGGGTCAGATAACCCAGAAATCTTCATACTGAACTGTAGCAAACTGAGTTTGCTGCCCTGCCTGAATTTCCTGTTTCTTCTCATGTCTTAAAATATAAAACACTAAAACTTTTTTGGACAACATGAAGACAGCAGAACGCCTGACAAACTCAATATTTTACATTTGTGTCAACACTGTTTAAAGAAATGAAGTAACCGAAGTTTCAAACTTCTCTTTTCTGGGGATTTGGAGGTCATTTGATCTCAGTGAATTAGATTAAAACCTTCTAGCCTTGCCGTATCTCACTCACAGCCCTACAGGCAACAGGTGCTCTGCATGTGAACGATGCATATATGCATGTGGCTCTTGTCCAGACATTCCCCCACCTCTCTCTCCCCAGAATAAACCTTTCAGGGCTTTAAGGTTCATGGGCTGAGTTTATGGGTCCCATGGTTAGGTCCGTAAGTTATGGCACAGTGCCATGGCAGCATGCCACCTACTAACCCCCAGACCCTGCCATCATTTTATTGAACAACTCAGTGGTGAGCCGGTGGAGAAGGGTTGGTGGCACAGGCATCGTTGGTGATTAGCAGGCTCAGGACTGAAGGATTCTCTTTAAGCTATATCATTTTTTTCTTAAACGGAAAAGCTTTTCACTGTATTTTACTGTTTTTCTCACTGTAAAAGAGGTATGACAATCAAATCATTCATTCATTCATTGTAGTCCAATGCATGCTCAAGAAGCAATTGATTCTCAATTGAGGGCCTTAGCCCATGGCCGCTCCAATATAACAGAGAGTGGATGAGGTTTGCAGCCAACATACAACCCCTGCTGGTCAGTGGAGCGAGGGGGGAGTTCTGCCTTGTCCAGCTGGAAGCTGTTCCACAGTTTTGCCTTGCTGCGCACCCACCCCCTCCACTGTGTTGTCCAGAATGCCCCATTACCACCTTCCCGGGTGACCAACAACCCTGACGAAGTCCTGCTCATACATGGCTGGATCACTCCATAAATTAACATGAGGTGAGGGGTGTAGGGATGCCATCCTCAAATATATTATCCAACCCCATGTTTTACTTTCTACGTAATGATCACCACCAACAAACACAAACCAAAAACAATAAAGAACGCCTAACCCTAGCCGGGCTTGATTGTATGGCTTTCCTTTGAACTCCTTTGTTATCTTGTTCCATACAGTCACCCTGACCTCCACATTACTGACTCGGGTATAATATTCAGCTGATCAGGATTAGTCATTTCAGTGCAAGGTTGATTTATCTCAGACATCTGGCCAACCATGACTCTTTAAATTTCAAATCTTTTCTTGTACATTTTTGTTTCACAGCTTCCTTCCGACATATTCCTTCATGGTTGCCTTCCCAGGTCATTTTTTTTTAAGCTTTGATCAGCCCTCTTATTTAATACACCATGTCCTTTTCCTGACTCACTTTGTAACTACAACTTGATGATATTATGATGACAATGGGCAATTCTCAGCTGATGCTGTCGGTTCTGGAAAATTTGCTCTCAACCCTATTTCTGGCCACCATAACAAGGCAGTAATGGCACAGGTTTTATTGTATTTTTTAAACAGTTTGTACAAACCTTTGCAGGGTCATGTTTAGATAGAAGATCAATGGTTTTCCTTGTAAATAAATGGGTTGAATATATGTTTGTATATTCAGCAGCAGGTTCTTCCCCGTTGCGCAAATCCAGTGCACAGCGAGTGACATTTAGCTTCTCAATGAAATAACAACGCTTGTGGGTGTAATAATCCTCACTGCCCAACAAGTAACCTAAAATGCAAAATAAACAGGCATTAAAGCAACAAATCGAGAGGAATGGTATTGAACATTATCTGTAAGGTGAATCAGCTTCTTGAAAGATCAATTATACTTGACAAATCTCACATGAATATATTGGAAAAACTATTGAAGACTCAGCTTCGCACAACAACTGACTGGAAGGAGAAAGTATGTCTCGAACTGGTAGCAAATTCAATGGCAAAATACGGGCACCCGAGTGAGTCACACAAATCAGAGGTAATCTCTGTTCTGTCCTGAATTTGGGCCAAATGCTAGAAAATGAGACCAGTGTAGATTAAGAGGAGTTTTGTCAGTGCTGACTTGATGGGCCAAAGGGCCTCTTCTGTACTGTATGGTTCTACGAATTAGCCAGAGGAGATCTGAGTGTCCTTATCTGATGTAGGAAGAAGGAGGACATAGGGAAAGGAACAGAAAGATACAACAAGGAGAAACATAGCAGCTCTGGCAACAACTGGGCGGCACGGTGGCTCAGTGGTTAGCACTACTGCCTCACAGTGCCTGGGGCCTGGGTTTGAATTCCCCCTCGGGAAACGGTCTGTGTGGAGTTTGCACATTCTCCCGACGTCTGCGTGGGTTTCCTCTGGGTGTTCTGGTTTCCTCCCACAGTCCAAAGATGTGCAGGTTAGGTGGATTGGTCATGCTAAATTGCCCATAGTATTCAGGGACATGTAGATTTAAGTGGGTTTTGGGAACGGATCTGGGTGGGATGCTCCGAGGGTCGGTGTGGACTTGTTGGGCCACACTGTAGGGATTCTATGGAAGATCTGTGGAGAGAAACCAGAGTTAATGTTTTGTGTCTAGAGACCCTTCTTCAAACAGGAAGAAGAAAGGTTGTTCAAGGTGCAGCGCTCAATTCAGCATCACTCCTGCAACATGGAACATTGTTAATTGCAAGGGGAATAAAAATTATGTAGGGTAATGGTGAGACCACATCTGGTGCACTGCGTGTAGTCTTCATCTTCTTATTTAGGAAAGGATGTGCATGCAGGAGCAGCAGTTCAGAGAAGATTCACTTGACTGATTTCTAGGATGAAGGAGTTATCCTCGGAGGCAAGATTGGACAGTTTGGGCCTTGCATTCATCTGAGTTTTGAAGATTCATAGATGATCATGTTGAAACGTACAAGGTCCTGAGGAGACTTTGTCGTCTGGTTGCCTCTCTTGTGGAAGAGACTGGGACTAAACAGTACACTTTAAAAATAAAGGAGACTCCCATTTAAGACGAAGTTAAACATTTCTTTCTCCCTAGAGGCCGTGAATCTGAAGAATTCTCCTTGGACAGCAGTGGGGAAGGGTATTGAACATTTATAAGGCAGATGTAGTTAGACTCTTGACTAACAAGGAAGTCCAAAGGTATCGGGGTAGGCAAGAAAGTGGAGTTGAGGTCACAGTCAAATCAGCCATAATCTTACTGAACGGCAGAGCAAGTTCGAGGGGCTGAATGGCCTACTCCTGATCATAATCAGTTTGTTCATGTGGACATATGTAACACTGCTACTGGTGAGGGCACAGGTGGGTAACCAGAGGGAGCAGAATTGAGCTGTGCTGTGTTGTCACTGTAATTCAGCAGCTTGTTCACACAGTTAGTTTGGCCTCACAAATGCGAGTGGCCACTGCAAGGTACCAGAGAGTTGTGGACACTACGAGAACTAGACCCCCAGCAAAAGCCTTGGGCTTTGAGAATGGGGTTTAGGAAAATGTGCAGAGGAAAGAGATGTTCAAACAAAACACAAAATTGACAGCAAAATGCTAGTGTGGAGTTCATCTCAAATCCTATCATGTGACACATGGTGAGACTCCAGCACACTGTAACCAGGGGATGGTGTGTCATAGCTAGTTTGATTGGACAGTGTTGATGCTACATTCTTTCTAGGATTTAGAAATGGAATGTTGAATCTCAACAGTAACATTTCTAACATCAAAAAAGTGCAGCTGACAATCATCACCTGAAAAAATCCTTGTTGGGAAGTGGTGGTAGAGGGAACATCTCAGTGCACCACTTGTAGTGAAACTGCCCCCCAACTGGGTTCTGTAGGGGCACTAACTTCACCTCAGGCAGGAAGAATGTACCGACCACTGAAACCACATGACGTACTGAAAGAATCAACAGTATTTACCAAAAAAAGAATCAAATCCTCTCTGCGTTGGGTGGCACTCCTTCTTGTACATACCCAAGTGCCACTTGCCTATCATGTGCGTACTGTACCCGACCTCCTTGAGTAGTTGAGGCAGCAGCTTTTCATCCAACGGGAGGCAGTATGGTTGACAAGGCCAGATAATTTCATGTTGTAAACCTGTGTGAATCTGGAGAGAAACCATGAAAAATTAGTTTGCTCCTGGCCGAGTGTTGCTATGCAATGCATGACACTACCGTGCGATAAAAGGAGTGCTTTGGAATTACTCAGGCACATTAGAACCCAGCAGATATAGCCACTTGTCTTCTTCATAATATAAAGAAAATTAGGCTAGAGGATTTTACAATATTTTAATGATGTCTTAAAATAAATCCTTCAATCAAGCTTCCGGCTGCTTGCCCTAATATCTAAAAGTAGTTTGACGTGAAGGTTTGCTTAGTAATACATTACAACGTTGCAGTATTTATTAAGCGAAGGGTATTGCATAAAGTACAGTTGCTGTTGTTTTGTGCATTAATATTTATTGTATCTCTACGGAAAAATGCTGAAAAGAGCTTCAGAACCTGGAATGTGAGCAAACTTGTCAGCAACCCAATGCATGTTCACCCTGAGAAATGAACAGCCGGGAGTTAGTGACATTAACATTGCAAAACCCACCTCACTGTGGAGGGAGGCCAGGGGGAGAATGCACTTTCTTCTGGAAAAGGGAAGTCAGACTGTGACCCCGGAATCCATCTGTTTGGTTTCGCCAGGAGGAACATGATCAGTGCTGAGCTCTCTGAAGTCCCCTTGGGTGCTAATGGGAGGCCCTTACATCCAAATCTTAGCCATTACCATTAGGCCAGTGTCATCAGTAGAGCCTGTCTTGAGGTTCTGACTGTGGTGAGTTGCTGCAGAAGGTACACCCCGCTGCCACTGTGTGTGAGTGATGGAGGGAGTGAATGGCAGTGTTGGATTGTGCTCCATGAAGTGCCATCAAATGGGTGGCCTCGTCCTGGACCATGTCAAGCTTCTTCACTATTGTTGGAGCTGCACTCATCCAGGCAGGGAGGGAATATTCCATCTCATTCCTGACTTGTGTGTATAGAAGTCAGTGGGCAACTAGGAGATCAGTTTACCCACTGCAGAATTCCCAGCCTCTGATCCGCTCTTGCAGCCACAATGTTTGTGTGGCTAGTCCAGTCCAGTTTCTGGTCAATGGTAAGCCCCAGGATGTTGACAGCATCGGGACACAAACTGTTTCAGGACCCTGAGGAATTTCGAATAGTGCTGAACATCATGCACTATTCAGTAGCTCAACAAAAGAGAAAAAATATTAAAATGTTACTGCACCTTGTGGCTATAAGCAATTTTGTTATGCAAGAGAAAAATCTTTCTTTTGCAAGTCTTCCTTTTTTCTGTTGCTGTGACCCCTCTGGTACATTTTGTTTATTTGTCCGGTCTTGATCCATTTACTTTCCAGGGCCTTTTGAAAGTTTGTACAAAGGACCCTTATTTTGGAAGTTGTTGCTACCAAAATCTTTGATCCCTCATCAGTGTTTCCAGAGGAAAGGTAAAGTTGGTCAAGTTGAATCACAGGGCTATTCTCTCAAAGACCAAGAGGGAAAGAGAGATGACCGGTGGTGAGTTCAGCCTGAGGGTTACAATGCCTCAAGCAGGGGGGCAGTTTGAGAAGGAGAGAGTCCTTCATAGTAACCTCAGCCAGTGTGGGAATTGATCCCACATTGTTGGCATCACTCTGCATCACAAACCAGCCATCCAACCAACTGAGCTAAGCAGGCTCAAGGGAGCAAACGGCCTATTCAGAGAACTATATAGTACAGTAGAGGCCCTATGGCCCATCTAGTCTGTACCAACAAAAATACTATCACCTGCACTACCCCCCCTTTCTCACACTAGGCCCATGGCCTTGAATATTATGCCACTTCAAGTACTCATCCAAGTACTTTTTGAAGGTTGTGAGATTTCTGCTTCCCTGATCGGCGATTCCAGACCCCACTACCCTCTGGGTGAAAAAGATTTCCTCAAATCCCACTTAGAAATTATGCTCCTTTGTTATTAACCCTTCAACTAATAGGAACAACTGCTTTCTATTTTCTATGTTTCTAAGAACAAACGAATCCAAAACCTCTTTGGAGCTTGACTTGTTTGCAGATGAGTGGTGACACAAACATCATTTTGTTCATCATTGCAATTGTTTCATAAAACTTTAAATGTGTATTTTGTTTGAAGAGCAGCACAATTAACAAATAACAGACCCAACAACATCTCATGGATTTTCAGTGATTTCAGTTTTCACCTTACTCAGCCTGACCACGTCAGCTCCAATCTTTCCCATAGATTCACAGACACAACAGCCTTGCCATTCCTTTGTTTGAAGGACAATTTGTTTTCTCTAACTTGTAAACCCCTTAGGCATAACCTACACATCTTTCAGTCTATTCAGAGTCACTACAGCTCATCTTCAAGGATACACAGTAACCATTAGAAGAATTCCCTCAGGGCAGATAAGAAGGATCACGCTATGCTCACAGATAACCCTCATCTGATAAACTCACATTACACACAACACAAGCAGCATGTTATCTTCTGCCAATACCATTTATATCTGACCTCTCCTAATGCTAATAATTTAAAAGCAATCTCTTTGATGTGTTCACCTTCTACAGTTTTACTTTATTTGGCAGGGTAAAGAACAAAGCAGGACAGAGATCCAAAGGGTCTCAGTGAAACTTGTACAGATCTCACTAGCCATGCCAACTGCTAAAGGAATTCTGCTACAACTTGGCAAGACAAAGGACTTGACCACCTTCCTTGTGAAGGATGTCTATTGCAAGTGAATCTGGATGCAAACAGTATTTTAACTGCATTATGGGCACTATATGAGAGGCATAGTTAGTTGCTAGTGCATGCTATTTGGCATTTCACCTGCTTTCAAAATATAACTCAGACAGCAAGAGATACTTAGCAATTTTCCCAGGGTGGAAGTTATTGTATGTGATCTCCTAGTCCATAGATGTGGAGACCCAAAGAAAGAAGTCATTGGAATAAAATCTGCTAAAGAGAGCTTACCAGGTGAAACCAAAGCTGAACAAGAAAAAGATCCAATTGATGATGCCTCAAGTACAGGGATCATAAAATGACAGCAAAAAGATTTGTTTGGATCCTGACAAAGATGAGGTCTATGACCAACAAATGTGAAAGCAGTGCAATGATTTGTTGGATTTGTGATTAAGCAAATTTGTCAATTTAGTCAAATTAGAGTGTGAACCTTCTTGCAAGTTTAAGGCTGTGTAGCAGAATTAGGGTAGAGAACAATGAGTAACTGGAATCAAACATCTAATAATTACAACACTAGTGCTAAGGTACCACAATATCAATAAAGTCAGCTTGCAATGTGATATTAATGAGACAGCAAACCCTTATGAAGCATGGACAAACAGCTGAATTTGGATTTAGGGCATTAATGCAGTCTTACCAATGCTATGCTCAGATTAAAGGGAGGGAAAAAAGGAGTGTTTTGCTAATGACGATTTTAATCAGTACCTCTTCGGGAGATTTTTTTTCCTTTATTAATTCACAGGATGAGGACATCACTGGCCAAGCAGCATTTATTGCCCATCCCTAATTGCCCAGAGGGCAGTTAAGAGTCACCCACATTGCTGGGGGTATGGAGTCACATGTAGGCCAGACCAGCAGATTCCTTCCCTAAAAGACATTAGTGAACCAGATGGGTTTTTCCTGACAATCGATTCATGGTTATCATTAGATTCTTAATTCCAGATATTTATTGAATTCAAATTCTACCATCTGCCATGGTGGGATTTGAACCTGGGTCCCCAGAACACTATCTGGGTGTCTGGATTAATAGTCCAGCAATAATAACACTAGGCCATCGCCTCCCCAGTGACAGTAGAGCCCAACCACAAGCCACTTCAAAGAATCTTTCTCAAACCAATTCAGTCTGTAAATAATGTCACTTTCTTTGCAAAGATATCATCTGAACATGACATTTAAGCAAAAGAAACAGATTTACATTTTTGACATGCTGTCAAGAGCAGCACTTCCTATGAAGGCTGTATTGGATTTTGAGATAGTGTGAAATCTTTCAGATTCAACAAGAAGCAATGGGTTGTTGATATGCTCTGGTAGATATCAACCCAGCAGAGAAAGTGAATCTGAAAGACAAATATCTTGCTTAAATCAAAGAAACGTTGCAGCAAGATGCAACTTTCAAAGCACTACGGGAAATACTGATGAAAGGACAACCTGAAAGAATCAAGGAAACACCTACCACTGTAAGAGAGTATTGGGCCTATAAGATTGAAGGAACGGCCCAGATGCCATTTTGTACAAAGCAACAGAGATATTATCACTAAGATGATAAAAGAGATGTTGAAGCATATCCATTCAAACCATCAAGAAATTGAATCTAGTCTGAGAAAACAAGAGAAGTGCTGATTTGCCAAACATATGCAGTGAGTTAAGGACCACACCAGCCCAGTTCAATTCTTGTAATGAATATCAAGCTAAGCAAGCCAAATGGTCCCATAGAACACAAGACCTCTCAGAAGAACAAGGATTACGCTCGGAGTAGACCCCTTCACTCCAGCAGGAACTAATTGTCCTGACACCATTGACTACTAGGAGTTAGAACAACTGATGTCAGTGACTACCAATAAGATGGTAGAATGCCCGAATGCCACTTCAGTCATTACACACATTATCTTCAATGATAATGGCCGTCAAATGATAAATGAAGAATTCAGTCTCTTCATAAAAGATTGGGTAATTCAACTCTATCCTTCATCTCCACACTATCCCCAGTCAAATGGAAATGTTGAGGCAGCAGTGGAACTTGCCAATGGGATCAAAAAGAAATTGAGCAAATCCATTACAGATATAGATAACCCAATCCTTAAATGGAGAAATAGACTGAATGAAGGCATGGAATGTAGTCCAGTCCAAAGACTAATGTCACACCGCACCCAAACTACTCTTACAATAGTAAAAAAGACTACTGAAGCCAGATGTAGTAACAGGTGTGTGTCAAAACCAAGGTGAGACAACAAAAGCAAATTTTACTTCAGAAAAACTGCCAATTCCCCACTGTCTGACCTGAGCATTGGAGAACCTGTCAGAGTGCAAACATTCAACATTCTCAATAAA